CTTCCGATCGACCAACCATTCTTCGGATTCCAAAAGTTGGAAACCAAAATCAGAACCAGAATCACAGAGATCGACTCAAAATCATGGAATCACGAACAATTTCGTGCATTCGTCAGAGATGGAGGTGGAAATTGATGGGTTACCTCCAAGACGAGAGAAGGTGATGTCGATGGGGAGACTGCGAACATCATCGGCTGCCTGCATTTTCCAGGAAAACTATTACGTTTGCTCGGGAAAATCTCTCTCGGAGAAAGTCTTCAGTTTCAAGGTTGGAGTTCGGGTTTAGTTGCTTCGTATCTATTTTCACAAATCATAATAATACAAAAATTAATTATTTTTGCTGAAAATTAGTATCTTAATCGTTCTCACCTTTAACATAATAAATTATTTTTTCACAATTAATAAACTGATTTTTATTTCAGTGTTTACAAATCTGATAAAAAAAATTCACCTAATTGATTTAGTTTCTACTAAATCTGTATATAAATAAATTTTTAACATATTTTAATTAATATCGACTTTGTTTGTCTTTTACATATACAAATCAACATTTAAAATTAAAACATATTTACATATATATCATTATCGGATTTTCCAAATTTTCGGTAAAATTTTACATATTTAAACGAATGCATATACGTACATATAATACTCCATGTGATTAATTTTCAGGCAAAATTAAATTTTCTAACTGAAATTGTTGGTGACTACTCGGTTTTTATTTGAAAGACTTCTTAATTTGCATATTTATATATTGACTATTGTATATCTGACTAGTGTATATATATATGTGTGTGTGTGAAATAATGACGTTTTCTCTAGGCTCTATGCGATGCCACGTGGCACTTACGCGATGACGTGTAACGATGATATGGCAACGATATTAATGTTGGGGAAGAGCACAATATCAAGATCCCTATAGAGTCAATGACTCTTTTTAATACGTGAATTTTTATGGACCTACGGGAAAAATTAGGCTGATAGAGACTGAAATATTCATTGTGTGCAATATTTAATGAGAAAAATATATGGATAATGCAATAATAATAATTCATTATGGTTATATTTTACAATATGTTCTCATCGTGTCCAATATTCTCATTTTCTATCATTTTATTTTAATTGCGGGAGAATATAATCTCAAGTAGTACGAATAAAATGTGGAATGAATGAAACCATAAAAAGATGACGAAAAAAGAGCCATATGAAGATTTTTCGTAGAAATTTTAAAAAGTGAGTTAATTATTAATTTAAAATCGAAACGAATCTACTTTTATAAATTTTTTAATACATGTGAATATGACCCCGAAAAATAAATGAACTTTCTTTAGTTTAAAATTTGTTTAGAGTTGAAAAACCTCGCCTCTATTCTAATTGTTGAAATATTAATATTTTAACTCTAATATATAGAATCAATTTGATGGATATGTAATTAATTAGATTAAAATTGTAACACGTAACTAATATGTAACTGTATTGAAATAATAAAATATTTTAAAAATTAAATATTTCTTAGTCGAATTCAATATCGAATTTCCGGCACGAATCCCGAAGTTATATTGTTATATATATATAATTTAAATGAAAAAATCTCGTCTATATAAAGAACAAAAGAACAAAATGGATGGAGTTGGTCCGTATAGAGACTCACTAAAAGCATGGACTCAAAAAATTGAATAATTCTTACTTATATTATATGACTTATTATTTTTACTTTTCTGCGAATATGGGTCCGTTTCTGGTGCTCTGTTGAATGTTATAATAGTCACATTATATAGAACTGCAATGTGTATATATATACACACACACTATAAACAATTTTTTTTAAAATAATGTTGTAGTTTATTAATAATTTAATATTTAAAAAAATGGTGTACTAGTTTATCAATGGCAATCTCTAGAGAGAGAGAGAGATGGGGGTAGAAAAGGACATCTTCTTGACCGCTTTATCACAATATTTTTTTTTCAGAGGTTATAAAAAAAAACAAAGTCTTCTTGTAATATTTTAAAGTTGGAGAACTTTATAATATGTGTGTGTGATAATAATAATAATAATAATAATAATAAATGTAAATATAGGAAGAAGAAGTTTGTCTTTTGCTTCTCCCCCTTCAAAATTTCCATTATTCTTCTTTGTGTTACTTATCATCTCTTCAACCTCCCTTCGCTACAACCGACCTCTCTCTATCTCTCTCTCCCTCTCTCTCTCTCTCTCTCTCTCTCTCTCAGGGAGATATGGACACATACAGATGAAGTATCATTAAATGCTCTGTTACATAATCTCTCTCTCCAAGAACATGGAGAAAATAATTTTCAGAAGAAGATATATACTACTGATTTAAGCCATGAAGAGTTAAGAGAGATGCTTCTGAGTTTTCGTCAGCAGAAGAATCAAGAGATCATCATCATCATCATCACCATCACATCTGCTCCTTTCATGTCTGTAAGAAGACCGATAAAAGTCGATTTTCAACTTCATTAGCATCATCATCATCATCATCATCAAACTATGCAAGGTCATCATCCCCATCATCATCAGTTGTCGGCGTCAACCTCATCTTCACATGGAAACTTCATGTAATTATGGTTTCCTCCGCTTAATCCAGGAAAGGTTCAACCTTTAATTGTATTCATGTGGCGATTCGAGTTTTTGAAGTGCGTATATAGTTTTTGCAGGAACAAAGACGATGGGTCGTATGAACTCGGAGATATGGACCCGACTTCTCTTTTCCTCTATCTTGATGCTCAAGGACATCAAGATCCTTCTTCAACTGCTCCTGATCACAGGCGTATGCTCTCTCTCTCTCTCTCTCTAGATCTCCCTCTCTCTCTCTCTCTGTGAATATGCTTTCTTGTTGTCTCTTCTTTGAGGATTGGGATTTGGTTCAAGGAGATTCTCTGCAGCAGACAGAGAGAGATCCAGAGAGAGAGAGAGACTATTTTTTCTTTGGTTGGGTTCACAGGAAAAGCATGTTCATCAGTTTCAATATCTCCTGCCATCAGTACTTGCTTTGACCAGATCCTTTTGTTTCAGAGTTCAGACATCAAATCCTTTGACATTGAATTACCAAAACATTAAAATCCCATTTCCTTAACACCGATATATATATCAACTAATCAACAAGTCCATTACTTGTCCCCGTACACTAACCAAAACCGGTCCTAATCAAGACCATGTCCACACATATAAAACCACCCCATACATATATATATGGACACTCGATTCATCATCACATGAAATGACTTTGACCCTCGTATACACACACACACACATATATATATATATATCATATATGTATACTTGTATATGTGCAGATCATAACTTGGCCATGAGACCTCCCACATCGACGTTGAACATCTTCCCGTCTCAGCCTATGCACGTAGAGCCACCGGCGTCGTCATCGGCCAAGGTGTGTGTGTGTATATATATATATATATATGTTTACATGTTTATATATTTCGAATACATGCCAATTTTGGTTGGTTTATGTTCCTTGTCATTACAACTACTTGCTATTAATATAATGTTACGCTAGTCAGACCAATTATATATAACCAAATAGGGTTTTGATTTCATATATTTTTTTTTATGTATTGGTAGAGTGAATCGAGATTGGTTTTGGCTGAACCAAGATGCTCGAACCGTCCATCGGAACCGACCATGCAATTGACCAACCCGGCAAATGCACCTCCTTTCCAACCTGAACCATCCAAATCCATCAAGGTACGATCCAACATTATTATATATATATATATATATGTATATGTTTATGTATAATTTTCTTATGTACGACTTCGTCAATATTATATTCTCCATGTCAAACCCAGACTATATTTTATATATATATATATGTGCGCTTTATATAGCGTTTTAATGATGCAAATGTTGTAACAGAAGGAAGTTAATCTCAAGGGTCATGCACCATCACACCAAGAAAGACCCAAAACACCGGACACTAAGGCAAGCGTTATATACATATATATATATAAATGTGTACATATATGTATATATATAGAATAAAGTTTTTATGTTGATATATAATTTGATTTTCTGACACAGACACTGAGAAGACTGGCACAGAATAGAGAAGCAGCAAGAAAAAGCAGACTAAGGAAAAAGGTAAAAAAAGAAGTTAAATATATATACCCTGTTTTTTATATAACTATATATATACTAAAAAAACTATATATATACACCTTGTTTTTGTTATTATTCCTTATTTTCTGAACTTGGAATGATTACAGGATAGATTAATTTCTGAATTTAAATTTCATTATTTCTCTTGCAGGCTTATGTTCAGCAACTCGAGTCATGTAGGATTAAACTGACCCAATTAGAACAGGAAATACAAAGAGCCAGAGCTCAAGTAATTATTTAATATAGTTTCAAATCATGCAATTTTTAATTTTTTATGTGAAAATATATATGTAATTTCCCGTCATAAATTTAAAATTTTATATTTCTTTTCTATATTATTAGGGTGTATTCTTTGGAGGAACTCTTACGGGAGGAGACCAACAAGGCCTCCACATTGGCCCTGGCAATATCAGCTCCGGTACGTATACACTATACATGCATATATATATACACATACATACATATTATATATATATCATAGAGTGATATGTTTCGTAAATAATTATTAGAATAACAAGTTTTTTCACATGGACGTTCTCCATGACCGAGGGGATGAGTACTTAATTAATAAAAACATTATTAAGATAGTAATAATACAAGAAAATATATCTCATTATATAGTTGAGCGATCGAATATTATAGTTACGTGAATCTCTCGTGTATGTATATACACATACATATATACATATATACATACATATATACGGATACAGCGGAGGCGGCGGTGTTCGATATGGAGTACGGGCGGTGGCTGGAGGAGCAACAAAGGCTGTTGTCGGAGCTCCGGGCGGCGGTGGAAGAGCAGTTGCCGGAGAACGAACTGAGAATGTTCGTGGACAATGTTTTGGGTCACTACGACCAAATCGTAAACCTAAAGGCGATGGTGGCTAAGTCCGACGTCTTCCACCTCGTCTCCGGCGCCTGGAAATCTCCCGCCGAGCGTTGCTTCATGTGGTTGGGCGGTTTCCGACCATCCGAGATCATTAAGGTATAATCATATCTTCTTTATATATATACATATATATATATATATGTGTGTGTGTGTGTATGTCGACCATTACTAGATTTTACGTGTTTTGATTGCGTATATGTCGTCCATTATGTTGATGTTAGAGAATATATATATAACCCACGAAAATTTTGAGAAAATTAGGGTTCAATTAATTCGTTGGATATATAGCCGCCTAAATCTTATAGTAAATATATAACCATAATTCTTAGGAAATAAATCGTCACCTTTTTGGCTCGTTTTAGTCTGTAGAGGATTTTATTAGGCTAATCTTGATAATTTCTTTAGATAATTATATATATACACTATATTTATATGTGTGTATATAAATATATATACATGTACGTTGTAGGACAATTGTGCCTGACAAATAGGATAATAGCACACACGCGAACAATACTTGCTGGCAAAATTGTTTAGGCCACCAGCTAAAGCAGCCTTTCTCATATATAAAAAATTTGAATTGAATATTTATTATAGGATAAAATATTGAACAAATAATTTAACCTAAAAAATATAATTCTTGGAATTTCTTCATGGTATTATAAAACATTGTTGACGTCGTTCGTCTACCGACTCATAAACACTAATAATAGCACAGAATATTCCTTACGGGTGCATAATTTTTTTTAAAAAAAATCTTTGTTAATTACTTTAAGACATTTCTAATAGTATTATATTGTCCGTTGAAAAATGGCTGTATATATATATATATACACCTCGAGGCTCAAACTATATGCATAGACCCACAATATTTTCTCCGATCCTCTTAGGTAATGGTACATACCAATTAATGATGTTGTAAGACATTCAGACATTATAGATATTTTTAGAACAAGTTGCGTGTATCATACATGTATACACACACACACATATATATATATAACACGTTGCATGGGCTATAAAAAGCATTATTTAATACAAACAATAAAAGTACACGTAAAACGAACAATCCATGCATTGGGTTGGGTTGCAGGTGAAGGATTTCTACAAAAGGGCTAGGTTTTGGTATAAGCTTATTAAAGTTCATGTCTGTTACTACGCTTTATAGTATATATATACACAGAATATATATATATATATATACAGAGGAGAGAGAAGAAGAAGTTCATTATTTTTTTTGTGAAGAAGTTCATTATATTTTAAAATATATAGACGACAAGGAAAAAGAATATATGGACAAAGGAACAAGTCCTGTTGCTTTATGGAGAGGAAAAACATATATTATACATTCCTCGACTATAGTTTTCTTCAGTATTATATATATATATATGTATCTGTTTATATATGCGTGTTACAATTTCTTGCTTTTCGACTTAGTTTTCGCATTTATATTATGGACATGATGAAAATGATGTTTTTCTCACGCTTATGTGAAAACCTAAAAAAAAAATGATTGCTGATACGTACACATCGTACACCACATTAAATGCATTTCGAGCCTTTTCTCCTCTCTTATCAGCCTTTTCTTTGATTCCATTTCCATTTGGTCAATCCGGTCTTATATATACATATATATATATATATATATATGTATATATGCATGCATGCATGCATTCATGTACGTGTAATTAGAGAAACTCGATGGTTATGGATCTACATATAACAAAAAAGTCATGGATTCGATACAAATTAATATACGGACTTATGGTTATTATTTATGATTATTATTTTGAAAATAAATTCAGGTGGTAGTGAACAGAATAGAGCCGTTGACGGAGCAACAGATAGTGGGGATATGCGGACTGCAGCAGTCGACACATGAGGCCGAGGAGGCTTTGTCTCAAGGCCTCGAGGCATTGAATCAGTCACTGTCCGACACCATTGCCTCCGACTCTCTCTCGGCCTCCGCAGTCGCGGG